AGGGCCGATACAGCAAAGCTGTTTATGTGCAGCAAGCATTTTTGTCGGGAGAGCAGTTTGAGAATTGGAGAATGGTGGACGTTTTCTTTTATGAGGAGTTTGTTCACATTTAGACACAAATCCATGCTGCTGTGTTTGCCTAAATCCTCTAGATTACCAACAGGACTACTGGTTAAAATAGACAGGGCAAGAGACCTGCTGCACCAAGTCTGTATTCAGGTATTAATTTTACCTGCTTTTATCCTCTTTGAACTAATACTGTTGTCCATCAGCACCATCTCCTGGACTGATCATTTAAAGAAATGCGATCTAATAGGATGGTAAACCGCTGCTGCGAGAAATTTTCCCCTAGTTGTCAGACGGCATCTTCTGCAGTTTAAATGAAGTCTCATCATCGCTAAAGTCAACATTTTCTCTTTATTTCAAATATATATAACCAGCCCAAACAAATTTAATTCACCAAAATGTTTGACACACACACGTAGCCTGTACTGTGCCACTGACACACTGATTTAATAACTGTGACAAAGTGAAAATATAGGCTAGTGTCATTTCGAAATGACAGAAAACGGCTCGCGATTAGAATGAACAGCAAATCAGCCAGCAGAGTATCAATAACAGACTTTTATTGGTCATTAGTAAATTGCACGACTTTCATACCTGTTAAGTTTCATGCCAGTACTCTGGTTTGCGCTCTCTCTCTCTCTCTGTGTGTGTGCGTGTGTGTGTGTTAAAGAGCCGCCGAGCTAACGGCTGACAGGCCGGGAACGCGCGCACACACACACACTGTATTTCTGTTGGCAGACACGTGAACTAGGAAAACCTTTTTCTCATATTTCTGACGCGCTTGAACCACATGTGACAGATTATAACGGCTTTAACAGACACATTTTTAAGTTGTGTGTCACAAAAACATGTTATTCATTAAAAACGTTATTGAAACCCATTTTCGGAGCGCAAATTACCAGTTGTACACGCTGTAAACGGAAGTTTATAGCATTCTACCGGAAGACGCTGGTCGCTATGGCGCCCTCCATGCAGCAGCCATGAAAAAGGTCTATACAAACACGATTATCTTTATAATAATATAAATTTTGGTTGTGTGTATATGAAAATACGAATAACAAATGTAGCAGGGCATTAAATTACTGTTTATTTCTTTGCATTTTAACTTTGTAAACTAGAAAATCATGTGTCTCCTCATGGTTTGTGTCTCATTTTATGAGCTAACTGACAACAGTTGTTTGCTCCCCTCCTTCTCCCCTGCTGGCCACGCCCATTCCTGCCCTTTGCTCGTAAAGCTCCACGCCAATTATGATGCATCTTTGGTCAAATTCTGAAGTAGACCTGAATCGAAAGTGGGGGGGGGGTATCATGGCCCTTTAAAGATGATCTGCCTGTGATGTCAAGTTCGCGGTGTTATAAATTAAATATAGTACTTGTGTGTGAATTTGAATGCACTTAATTTCATAACTAACATTCACTCTTCTTGTTTATTTTTTAGATAACTACAAAAAACTGTATTAATGAAATTCGATTCAAAAAAGAGGATTTTTAAATAAAAATATAGCCATGGTTGTGTTCAAAAAGAGGTCTGACTCACTCCTTCTCTTCCGGCGTATGACATCCTACTATAAACTTATTGAATCAATGAACAAATTACACAAAACTAATTCTTTAAATTACGGTAATAAAGGCTATTCAAAAGTAAAAAAAATAAATAAATAAATCACATTCACAAAAGAGAGCTAAGATATGTTTTGAGGCACAGTCTCTCATGCTGCTTTTTTATTGCATGAATTATTTAAGTAAAACATTTTGTTTAGGTGGTTTAATATTTAACTAGTCATGAAATCAAATTAAAAATCTAGCTATTTTGTTTATTGACACTTTAGAGCGCTTGTTGCCATAAAAATATTTTTAAAAAAAGAACAACTGCAGATTTGGGGGATGCCTTTCGTGACTATCCGCTACTCCAGATAATTTAGATCTTTCATTAGGCTCAGTATTCAAGTATCACACATTTATATTAACAAGATATTTAGACCATTTTATGATTTTTTTTAAACGTTGTTTGTAGTTTCAATTGTTTTGTTTTCTTGTTTTTCTTGATGTTTTAACATGCGGTTTATACAACTGCAATGTGATTTTCTAAATTATCTAAACTAGACAATTAAAATATGCTGTTAAAAAGTGTAGGCCGTTAACAATTTTATTTTAACTGCAGATGCTTTAAACTGCTGGTTTTGTCTGACCAGAGGACAAATGCACATTGTAAAGCTGCAATTGACGTAGTAGCATTGTATAAAGCGTGATATAATACAGCATGTTTAATCCTTGTGCTATTTTAAGTGAATCTAATAGTAGATAAACCCATGAGCAGCATTTTGGTATATAGTGTTTCTAAATGCAGCCCACCCCCTAATTTAATAATAGTTTAACTATTAACTACATCCAAAAAGAGCTTTGGGTAATTTTATTATATCAATATAGAGCAGAAACCAGAATACCAAAATGTTTAGTTTATTTCCCAATATAGAGCAGAGAAGTTTGAACTGACCTGGACTTGGAGCGTGATCTTGATCTTGAATCAGAACGCTTGGATGCTCTGGAAGGGCTGGGAGAACCAGACCTGCTCTCCATCTTGGGTTGGGCAGGACTCCCCCGATCCGATTTGGACGCCGAGCGAGATTCCTAACATCACAGCAATACATTACGACATGTACAAGACAAACATTAACATAGCTTTGCTAACTTACACACTCACACCACATTCACAATAGCAGTAATCCAAACATTCACTTTACTACAGCTGCGGAGGAAAGTGTTAGAATTACTTAAATTATATTATGGAATAAAAAAAAAAAAGTTAACAGCAATACTGATACATTTACAAAGGCTAGCAAGTCATCACGTGTCCTTGTGATGCTTGTTCATTAGCCGAATCACCATAGTAAAGCTACAAACATGCAAATGATAATTAAGAAGAGATTAGAAACACTTGGAACACAAATTTAGCATTTACTTAGCCTACGGACTCATTCATTCTTCTGTTTTCAGTATACGCTATTCCTTTCTTTCAGGCATTTTATTCTTCGGTCTTCATTTGTTCAGTTTTCATTTTTCCTCTCCTTTTCATTTCTTCACCCCAATCTGAAACCTCTTTTCTTTTTTCTGCTTTAGACACATAACGCAAGCGTGCTTCTATCTGACCGATCTTCCGTTCTTTTTTCCCCTTCCCACTTAACCGTCTGCTCTGTAAACATTTTCTCTGTAAAAGCCTTCTTTTATCTTGAATATTCTTCCACATTCTTGGCCTTAACTCTTCAAATCCTTCACGACCAATAACCTTAATGAAAAAAGAACATTCAGAGCAATTAAGATCAAGGGAAACTTGGGGGGAAATGAATTGAACTCTTCAAATTTCACTACTCCTTGTGAAATAAAGATGTTTGTTTGGTTATGGTATGGTATGAGAGAAAGAGGAAAGATGAGAAATGCTGGAAACAGAAACCAAAAGTAATCTGGCTGCTATTGTGTGAATGGGAGATGTAACGTTATTACTTAAGTGCTTGTATCTCTGTTTCAGAGTGTATTGCTGTAGGACAAGCAAGTAAAACAACACAACGTTATATAAATACATGATGGTGAAAAACAAATATCTCGATATATGCTATTCAACATAGCAACGTAATAACATTACACAACAATAACATTGTAAAGGACTTATACGATTTAAAGTGACTAAATGGTAAATCTTTTGCTTACTATCGGCCAACAATAATATATTAGCTAATCTTTCGGTTTAGGTAGGTTGTAAATAAACAAAAGAAATGGACAGCTAAGTTAACGTTAGCTGTTCACAAACCGAGCATTACCGTAAAGAGAAAGAAAGAATATCTAAAAAAAACTGCAGAAAGGTTTGCGAAATTAAATCCTTACCCTCCTCTGGAATTGTTGCTCTTCAGTATCACTCATTGTTTTAAAAATATTATTGACTGGTAAAAAAAAAAGCGTGGATATGAAGACGCTCTTCGACGAAGACTTCCGCTCCTAATGTAACTGCAGAAAATGGCCGACCATCTGAAACGCGCGGTGTACTGTGGGAGGCGAATCAAACTGCGTCATATCCTCCTCAAAGTTTGTAGGTGGATGAGTCCATGTAGATAGATAGATAGATAGATAGATAGATAGATAGATAGATAGATAGATAGATAGATAGATAGATAGATAGATAGATAGATAGATAGATAGATAGATAGATAGATAGATAGATAGATAGATAGATAGATAGATAGATAGATAGATAGATAGCCATTGACAAACAAATAAATGGACATAGACAGACATGGTTGGATGGATGGATGAATGGACGGACAGACAGATAGGCTACATAGATGGATAGACAGACATGATAGATAGATAGATAGATAGATAGATAGATAGACATAGCCTACAGAAAAATAGATATGATATAGACAGAGGTAGACAGACATGAGATTTAGATAGATAGATATATGGATGGATGGATAGATAGATAGATAGATGATAGATAGATAGATAGATAGATAGATAGATAGATAGATAGATAGATAGATAGATAGATAGATAGATAGACATAGACAGACGGACAGACAGACGGACGGATGGATGGATAGATAGATGGCCAGATAGACCGACAGATAGACAGACAGACATATAGAAAAACAGATATTATAGACAGACAGATATGATAGACATGACAGATATACAGACAGACAGACAATCCACACACACACACACATATATATATATATATATATATATATAAATAGATGTAAGGAATCATAGATTTATATGACAGATTCTATATTCCATATATATTCCATGTAGAGATAGATAATTCATTCTTTTATCTATAAAGACACACTGATTAAATCTGTGCATTCATCAATCCAAACAGACAGATAGGATATGAAAATAGTGTGTGAATTGCATAAATACACACTGACAAATCTGAAGTCTGATATATCTTTTATTGTATGGATTGAGTAGTGTTGTCTTGGGGTACAATTCCTTCTGAAGGTTTAATGCCATGTTCAGTTTAACTGAGATAAATCCCCATCCCTAATCAAATCAACCTGCAATACAGACATCAACCATTCACTGAGATTAATCTTTGGATCAGCCTTTTCCCCACAGAAATCTGTTTTCAATTAATCTTAACAATGAAAAGGTGTCACGACTCAGGTGTAAACCTTTTCTCTGGAATCCGTCCAAGCGCACAAGACACACCATTAGCTAGCTGCAGAGATAACGCTGTGTGCATGGAGTCTTTAGCAGATACATTATGAAACACTCATTCGTATATCAAAAAACAGTCTTCCATAAAAAAGCTCATCCTTTCGCTCTCTCGGGTCTTATGTTCCATATTGCACTTAAGTTATAAAATACATTTGTGATCCATCAATAAAAGACAAAATAATCAAGCTGGAGTTCAAGTGCACAACTGAAAAAAAAATGTCTAAAAGCTGCTTTAGTCTAAAAATATATTTATTTATATATTTTCTCTGTACAGTCTTTGCAGTAATAACGTCCTTGGCCACGGTTGATGTGATTATTGTTAATTTAATGAGTGCGGTTTCTGTGGTCTGCCAGGTGATTGTGGTAGGAAGTGCAGAGGGTTACTACTACGCCTTTCTGGCCTGTGGGCAGGCAGATTTTGTTTGGTCGGTCTGGAAACAGCAGCCAGGAGAATTCCAGTGCCACCAGCTGGATGGGAGATGTTGTGCGTGGAGGCATTCACAGCAGCTTCCACTTTTCCCTCCAGCTTTACCAATCGGTTGAGAATGTCATCTAACAGCACAGCAATTGTCCTCTTCAGGTCAGCTTTGACAAAAAAAAAAAAAAAAATGAATAGGTAGGAATTAGTATGATAATATGTATAAATCTCTGTCAGCCACACCACACTTATTCTGAATACTAAGCAGGCTACTCATTCACATAATAATCAATATATGCAAGAAAAATTTTAAAGCCTACAGTGCATGCATTCGAAAAGTATTCATAGAGCTTCACTTTTTCCACAGTTTTTATGTAACAGCCTTAATCCAAAATGTATTCAATTTATTTATTACCTCAAAATTCTACATACAATACCACATAATGACAATGTGAAAAAAAAGTTTTTTTTTTTTTTAAATTGTTGAAAATTTTATTAAAAATAAAAAACCTGAAAAATAATATGTACATAATTATTCACTTTATTTATAAATATTTCTTTTTGAATCTGATGCCACAAGCTTGGCACACCTGTCTTTGGGAATTTATCCCATTCTTCTTTGCAGTACCTCTCAAGCTCTTTCAGGTTGGATTAGAAGAAACGATGTACAGCCATTTTTAGATCTCTCCAGAGATGTTCAATAGGATTTACGTCTTGGCTCTGGCTGGGCCACTCAAGTACATTCATCGAGTTGCTGTGAAGCCACTCCATTGATATTTTGGCAGTGTGCTTTGGGTCATTGTCCTGCTAGAAAATAAACCCTCGCCCCAGTCTGAGGTAAAGAGCACTCTGAAGCAGGTTTTCATTCAGGATGTCTCCGTACATCGCTGCATTCATTTTTCCCTCTATCCTGACTAGTCTTCCACTACCTGTTGCTAAAAAAACATCCCCACAGCATGATGCTGCCACCACCATGCTTCACTATGGGAAAGCTAATAGCCTGGTGATGAGCCGTTGACTGGCATTCACTTCAAAGAGTTCAATTTTAGTCTCATCAGACTAGAGAATTTTGTTTCTTATGATCTGAGAGTCCTTCAGATGCCTTTTGGCAAATTTCAGGCGGGGAGTGGCTTCCGTTTGGCCACTTTACAATACAGACCTAATTGGTGGATTGCTGCACAAATGGTTGTCCTTCTGTAAGGTTCTTCTCTCTCCACAGAACGCTGGAGCTCAGACAGAATGACCATCGGGTTATTGATCACCTCCCTGACTAAGGCCTTCTCCCCTGATGATTCAGCTTAGATGGCTGGCCAGCTCTAGGAAGAGTCTTGTTGGTCCCAAACATACTCCACTTACGAATGATGGAGGCCACTTTGCTCATTGAGACTTTCAGAGCAGCAGAATGTTTTCTGTATTCTGTAACCTTCCCAGCCTTGTGCCTTGAGACAATCCTGTCACAGAGGTCTACAGACAATTCCTTTGTCTTTATGCTTGGTTTGTGCTTTGACAAGCACTGTCAACTCAGGGACCATTAATAGACAGGTGTATGCCTTTTCAAAGCATGTCCAATCAACTGAATTTACCACAGGTGAACTCCAATTAATCTACTGAAACATCTCAAGAATGATCAGTGAAAACAGCATGTACCTGAGCTCAACTTAGAACTTCACGGCAAAGGCTGTCAATGCTTGTGTACATGTGATATTTTAGGTTTTTTATTTGTAATAAACTTGCAACAATTTCCAAAAATCTTTTTTCCATGTTACCATTTTTTTAAATGTTACTATTGCGAATGCACACATTGCGATATCGATGTTGAAATGATACATTGTACAGCCCTAATTTATAACATTTTAGAAATTATTGTTATTTAAAAGTTTAATACATCTAAATATATAAGGTTTTTCCCCACTCATGTTGTAAAGTTTTAAATATTTTAACACATGCTCACCAATTAAAGTTAATTTTAACATTATAATGCCACTAACCTTAATAAATAAATGTCAAAACAATTGATGTACTTTTTTCCAATGTTAGTCCACAACAAAAACTATGGACATAACCCAAACAATGGAAATAAACAAAATAAAGTTCATCAAGAAAATACAGGCAATTATTTAGAAAACACAGGAAATACAACATAAGCCACAGGTATCAATTTCTGACTTTTTTTTTAAATCACAAAATTACTTTATGTCTCCAAAGATTTTATTACTAAATAGACTACATTAGGATGAATTATGATGCTTTTCAACTTTATCAAATGGAATTCAAGTTTGTAACCACATGATGGTAATCCAATCCTTACCATATCCTGCCATTGAGGTGCCATGGGGTCCCGAGGGGTTCTGGTTTTCCTCACTAAGGACTTTGACATAGCGATGGCTGAGCTCAAGGATCTGTTGACGGAGCTCTGCACTGCTCTGGCGCCGTGGTTGTGTGACAGTGTAGTGAAGTAGCAGGAGACACCAGACCAAGCCAAAGAGCACCAGAAACACACTGAGCCTGTGAGACATGCTCCTCCGCAGGAGACAGCCCAGCATGGCAGAGCTGCAGGTCTGATGGGACCTGGGTTAAGGGGACAGGGCGGGGTCAAGTCTTTGTTTTTTACAGAAAGTGTCAGGTTGAAGGCTGGGAATATTTATGTCTTGAATAAATGGAGTGGCGGTTAATGTTGAGTTATCTTGTGAATTTGCTTAACTGTCTTGTCTAGGAAATTGAGATGGTGATTGAATTGTCTTGAGCAGTGGGCTTCAGATCAAAGACATTCCTGTAAAAATACAAAACACACAACAAAACAAGCAAGATCAGTAAAATGAGATAAAAAAATAGATTTTTTTCTCTTTGTCAGAATAATACAAAACTTCTTACAGGCACATGTAAATTTCAGCATTTTAACCCCATCTTACTCTTTCTGTGCTGGTTGCTGGTATGTTTTCGATTAGTATGGCAATCACGAGTACCGATTAATCTCCAAGAAATCTCCATGACCGCTGAAGTCCCAACACAGCAGCTAAAATACATACAGATGTGGTGCAGCCTCTGTTATACAGTTTATTGGCACATCTCATTCGAGTGGTGGTCTCTTTGTTGCAGTTATTGCATATCCAGTGTTTTTGCTGTGATGCGAGCAGAGCAATAAGCCCTATGGTTTCATCCAATTGTATGACCGGAGAGCAAAATTTTGGAATAGCTTTGCATGTATTTAGGCCTTGATACATATATAAGAAATGAAAGTTATGTTTTTTAACAATATTGCAAGTTCACTAAAACATAGCTGAAATCTTCTCTAAATTGCTTTGTTAGACATTTTTTTTACCAGTTTTTAAAATTGGTTTTATTTATTATTTTCTTTTATTTAAGCTGCTTTTGACCATGACAGATCCACACTAAATGGTTAAAAGATACATATTTAAGGGGTATATATATACAGCATTCTTTATTTATCTCTTAAGTAGGAGAGATCTCCACTAGGCATGGGACGATAACAATTTTCAAGGTATACAGCGGTTTGGAAAAATCAAGGTTTTAAAACCCCCAAAATTTTCTGTAATACTGTTCCTTAGGGGAATAAAGTTGTTGTTTTTTATGCAGACATTTAAAAAGGATATATTTTAGAGCAGTGAGCACAATACCGTGATACTGTGAAACAGTGATATCTTTATCCAAGGTTATTATACCGCCAGAATCGTATACCAGCCCATGTCTAATCTCCACTTAAGTATGCTTTATGCATTATAAATCTTGAAGCATTAGAATCGGTACTCGTTATCAGCCGATCACCATGACAAGGAATCAGTACTCAGTATCGGCTGCAAAAATCCTAATCAGAGCATGCCTATTTTGTATTTAAAGTACAAATGAAATAAAAATTAACCATATAATTTTGTAAGCTCACATTGCTAGTTTTGTGGTGAACAATTCATATGTGCATGTAATTAAGAAAAAAAAGTTTGCTCTTGTAATCTTTAACTGAAATCTGAAAAAGCACTTCCTGGGTTTTTTTTTCAGTTAAAATAGGTTACTTATTTCTTAGCTTATGGGGCACGGCTAACATAATTAACCACGTCCCTCCAACTGTCAATTTTGACAACAAATAGAAATGGTGAGAAGGTTAGGGGGTAAAAACTCTTCTATAACTCATTTGCTGATTTTTCTGAATGTAATGCCTATGTTAATACATCCATTCAGCTAAGAGTTGGAAAAACAAGCCAGGACCATGTAACCCCACTCCTACACCACCCAACCTGCTTTGAGCTGCAATCAAACTGGCGACTTTCCGTATTCTCTACAAATGAGACTAAAGACCATGCCCTCTAGCGTCTGCTACACTTACCGCCAGTGTTGGGGAGTAACTAGTTACATGTAACGCAGTTACGTAATTTAATTACAAAATAAAAGTAAAAGTAATTAGTTACAGTTACTAAGAAAAATATGTAATTAAATTACAGTTACTTTTGAAAATGTTAAAAATTACAAATGGGGTTACATCTAATATTTTTCTTTAAATCTCTGTGATATGTTGAATAATATTAATCTATTGCTTTGTCTGTTTTTGATATGCACGATGGCTTCTGCTAAGGCCATTTAGTCAAGCTGATGCTTTTGATTTGTGGCGCAACCAAGGGCGTAAATCCAAATAAAAAATATAAATATATATATATAAACGCACTCTCTATTTTTAAAAATATATGTGTGTATAACTAAAATAATTGTCTAAGTAGAAAAAAAAAACGCATTTATTATTTAAAATGCATTTAGAAAGAGTTCACCCCCGCTTCCTCATAGTGGTTTGATCCACCTACTCCTCACGTACACGCAGCCTGTCACACACAGTCACAGACAGTCGCAGAAGTTAGGTGTGTGGCTACGGGTCAATGTTGAATTTGAGTAAGTATGGTGTATTAATCACATTAAATAAATCGATTCTCTTCAAAGTTAATGCAGAATCATTTATAAATTAGTTGCGGCAAAAATGCAGATTACCGATGTCCATGAATCTGCTGTATTAGCGGTCAAAATGACTAATGTAGTTAACGTATGCTTGTTTAGCTTGTTGCATACGTTAGTGCACTGCAAAATAATACGCCAAAGTGCATTGTTTCATTTGTGACGACTTGGCATAATGTTAACTTTACATTAACGGCCACAATTAGCATATTGTTTATCTGTGGATTTGCTAAATGAACACTGTGCTACGTCCAAACTAGCCCCAATTTATTTTTTGTATAATCAATTTTAGTTCTGTTCTTAGGTGACTAAATTAATTTAAAATATAAAATGTCCTTGTTTTTATTGTTGTGATGATTTTTATGATAGTTTTTCATTCTTTATGTAAAGCACTTTGAATTAGCATTGTATATAAAATGTGCTACAGAATAAACTTGCATTGCAGTGTCATGGACTAGATAAAATGATTGAGGTAAAGTTTAATTTATATTCGCACATTCATTTAGTGACAGCTCCATACATTGTTTACTGTGGTACTTTGAATATTTGAACTGAAATCTCATGTAAGTATGACTTCAAAACAACATTAATAATAATAATAATAATAATAATAATAATACATTTTATTTGTATAGCACTTTTCCTACATACATGGAACTCAAGGCACTTCACAAACAACAAACAGGCATTGTAAAATAAACCAAATACAAAAAAAGTATATTAGACAATTAAAGCAAAATATATACTCAGATAAAAGCTTACATGTACACACATATATGCATACATCTACTAAATCACACACAATATTCTTTACATACATGCACACACACCGTACATGCATATGTACATAAACCTACACGATATAGATAAATTGCATAAACTTCACAAACATATTCATACGCAATTTTAAAAAGGTGCTTCTTAAGCTTTTTAAAAATAAATTCTGGGGGATTCTTTTACTTCATTTGGGAGACAATTCCAAGATTTTGCAGCATAGTGACTAAAAGAAGTGCCGCCAGATCGCATCAGATTTACAAAGTGAAATTCTAAAAGTCGAGTGCTAGAAGAGCGTAGCAAACGGTTTGGATTATATTTTGATAAGCAGTCAGAAAAGTAGGAAAGGTGTCATGTTGTGTAGTGCTTTATAAACTATTAAAAGAATCCTAAAATTTATTCTATTAATGCTGCTGTGATATGTTCTTGTGTCTTCAATTTCAATAAAACTCTGGCTGCTGTATTTTGTATCAGTTGCAACGTCTTTATAGAACCTTTAGGTAAACCAATATAATATTAACACTAACTGTAAACAATGCTGTACTTTGATGGTTGTTGGCTGCTAATATAATTTTACTATTTAGAATTTCCAGTGAATACTCTTCTGAGGTTATATCATGAGAGACTGAATGTGCAAATATAAAACCAACTTTACCTCAATGATAAAATGACAGAGAAAAGGAAAATGGACATAAGATAATTTTTCAGTGCAGCAAAACTCCAAGTACAAAAAGTTCACATATTAAGCAATTTGGCTTTCAGAATGAGTGCTTATGAAAATACTAATGTCACATTATCAATCACAGGCAGAGGAGAAAGAAATGATTGAGGAACAGGCAGAGCAGGGTCAGTCAGATGTACAGTGTCAGGTAAGGGTGTTGTGCTTCATTGAAGGGATAATGACAATTCTTTTAGGGGTGAACATTTTTTTAAAATGTTTTCTGAGTTGTGGCTGTTTAGCAGATGAACTTCACAGGCTCACCAATTTACAATATGATCTCTCAATTTAACAAGTGTAATGTAAACCAGTTAGTTATTATGAGTATGGAAAACTTCTTTTCCTGCATTTATTCTGCTTCAGGAGTCAGACTGTTGACTGTAAACAACACAACAAACAATGCAATAAATAGTTTTCAAGAAAAATTTGCTTTGTCATTGAACCAGAGAAAAACTTTGAAAATAACCATAATGATGTAGTCTCCATGCTGTAATATGAACAATAAAACCATTTTTAACTGCGGAGACATATAAGTACAATTCGGCTGTATTATTTGTGTACCCTTCAAAAAATCCATAAAAAATTGCTCATAAGGAATATTATATTTATTGTCCCCCCTACTGTTTAATCAAATTAATGGTCATGTCTAATCCTCCTTGCCATTGAAAAGCATGAGGAAGCATCTGCAGGTATGTAAGCTAGCGTTTCTTTGTTTTATCAAAGCAAATGTTTTTGTCGTTATCGTGAGTGTACAGAAATAAAAACAGACCCTTTCATTTCTAACGATATATTATGATTTATAAAGTTATCGATTTGTGAATTTCAGGGCACCAGCAGACTCCTCTGGCCAAAGTGATGTTATCACATTAACAGTGTAGCTAGCTTAACTACATTTCTCAGTAGCGTGACGGTAGCGTCGCTAAAAAATCAAATAGCTTTTCACAGTAGCGAAGCTATTTTATTAGTGAAGTAGCGCAGTAGTGTCCACACAAGCTACATTTACAGATCGCGGATCAATATTGTTTTAAATGTGTAACACCTGGTTTAATTGGATTTTTTTGTTTTTGCTGTTATGTCCTATAATTTATTCCTGTTTGGTACAGCATATTATTTACTGTAAATAATTGAAATGAACAGTTCTGCTTCTCATATGTTTCATTGGCAGTTTTATTGATCACTAAGATGCGATTGATTTGGATTTAAGTGGCTTGATTTAAAAATGAAAATTTCAAAAATTAGATGTATTTTTTATTGCAAATGCCCCATAAATCACCTGCACAACTAACTAACATTGTGATTTTGTAACAACAGTAAACATGTTTTTGTGATAAGGTCTGGTTTTGTGGTGGCTCTACTTTAAATTTAAATAAATTAAATAAATGTTATTTAAGTGATGAAAGCTTTTGAGATTCTAACAGTAAACAGAGCTACTGTAAGCTCACTCCTGCTCTGTATAAATGCTTGAAAATTATTTAGTTGAAAATGTTTATTAGAAAATTAAAAGTAATCAAATGTAATTAGTTACTTTACTTTTATAAAGTAATCGAAAATTATAGTAACTTATTACATTTTAAATAGGGTAATTTGTAATCTGTAATCTATTAAATTTCCAAAGTAACCTTCCCAACACTGCTTACCGCTTAAACCTCACTTTCATCCGGGTCACGACACCAATGTATCCCCGATGGTCCTATACCTCCCAACCCGCTCCGTGCTGGGTTAAAAATGGCGACTTTCCACATGGGAGTCGTTTGCTCTACCAAGGAGGCTTAAGACCATGGCCTCTAGCGTCTGCTACACTCAAGGGGTCACAGCACCTATGCAACCCTGCTGGTCCCACACCACTCAACCCACTCTAAGCTGGGATCAAACCACCGACTTTTTACTTCGGTTGCTCTACCAACCCTCTGCTATACCCACTGCTTTCTCATTTAATATTCTATTCCTCTAGGACAGAAATGCCCAAATTAGGGCCCGCAGGCCTAAGTTAGCCCATGGTAACCTTTGATTTGACCCACCATCCCATTTGAGAAGAGAGGGAGAATTATGAGGATGGTTTGTACTGGCACCCGACAGATAAAGGAAAATGCAAAGACATCAGAGAGCAAATGAAGGTAAAGCAGCATTGAACTCCAATGTGTTATAAATAGTTCATGCATTTTTATTGTAATAAGTTATAATTCAAATTAATACTGTAGTAGTCAATTCGATTAGAAATAATGTTTTTGATTTTGGCCCTTCATACAAAAAGTTTGGGCATCCTTGCTCTAGAAACTGTCAAAAAAAAAAAAAAAAAAAAAAAGCCACAGCTTTCTTTTTCAAGGTCTAAAATGACCTGAGACCTTACTATTTATCTGAACTTGGGGCTGTTAGCATATCTGCTAGCTAGATGTTTAAGGTCATCAAGTCAAAAGTTGTTAAAGGTCCTATTAAAATGCACTTTGTGGATGTTTGATGTAATCTCAAATGAAACATGAAAACAGGGCAGTACATAGAGTAGCTCTGCCCGTTTTTTTTTTTTTTTTTTTTTTGCTAATAGCACTTTGTTTCATCACAGCTCTGCCAGGGAGAGGTTGAGCTCAAGCATATCAAATGAAAAGCAAATGAGAAGCATCTTAAAGAAGGTGGGACATGTCAAATACTACAGAGCAAGGTATGATAGGAAATTGAAGCATGAGGTGACAATTTTTTTTGATCCATTAGGTGGAAGTGATAAATTGCAGGCTTTGGATGTTTATACCAGAATTTTATCTTCTGAATGTGAATTTTGGAGCACACTAGCTTATAGATACCTTCAAAGCTCAGAGATCAAAGTTAAAGCAATAGAGAGATTAAGCTCTATTGTTGGCCCCAAAATGTAGAATAATCTACCACTTTCTATTAGGATAATCTTCACAGGAAACTATAACTTAACCTTTTAAAAAAGATCCATAAAACGTGAGTCATTGGAGCATGCTTGAGTCTTGAGTCACCTGAATTTGTGTACAGCACAATGGTCAATGACTGTTATTTGTTTGTATTACATAAATAAAGTAAAATTTGATAAAGGTTTTGCCACTGGTTGTGTAAACACTACAATCAATTAACCAATAAATAAATAAGGATATGGTGTGCTTAATTCAATCCTGAAACAATAGAAATTGTTCTTCTTCAAAACAGATTTCACTAAAAGCTCATTTTTGATGCATCAATCTTAGATTTCACAAATTTTAACATAAATTAACTTACTTACTTAAGACCAAACACAAGTCTGTGTTCCACAAAGTATTCAAGATTTATAAAATGGTATTTTTAGTGCTAGACAAAGATCCAAACAATAAAGTATTTTATCCAAAATCAAAGTTTGTTTTGACATAATATATTTCTATGTATTATTTATATTTGCTAAATATATGTGAAACAAACACATACATAAAAACAGAACTACAAAACTTTTTTCTTAAATAAATATTTTCATTTATTTATAATTTATAATTTGTATCATATATATATATATATATATATATATATATATATATATATATATTTTTTTTTTTTTTTTTTTTTTTACATCTAATAAAAAATTCTCAAAGATAAATAAATATTCACTGCGCACACATATATGATGTCACAACAAACCTTTATTTTGTATGCAATTAGTCATGAATAGATCATTTTTGCCCAGCACTAATTATTTTCCATGTCTCTGCTCAGAGGTGTGCACTGCATTCTGCATAAATACTGAATAAATAGTTTAGTAGCACAGTAAAATACTAATACTCAATCTTGAAATATGATCTATTGTTTACTGCAATAAACAAAAATATTTTCAGCAATTTTACTGCTATACAAGCACAACTCAACACACTTTGTCTCATAATGAAATTATGGGACTTCAGCTGGGGTTTCACAGAGGGGTCACATGTCCGACTGAAGTAAAATTTTGTATTGATATAAAAGATATTTAGGAAGAAGTTTCTATTTTGAGCATCACACAAACAACACCAGAGAGTTAATCAAATTAAATAATGTTGGTACTAATAGTGATTGAATATTACACACATGCTCTTATTGTGCACAGCTTCAAATTTCAGATAGCATGAATAAATTAGATTTCAATCCTTAAGTGAATGGGAACCCTGTCATCACTGTCTGCCCATGGCCATAGTCCTATTCTCCAGCCAATCACAAATCACTCACTGAGATGGTGGTTTAGATTGATTAATAATAAAGGAGGGAGAGATAGAACCACTTTTAAATGGAGAGTTCACCCAAAATAAATGAAAACTCTCTCATTATTTACTAACCTTTTTAAAACTTCCAAGTAGGGCAGCACAATATCGGAAAGATCTAGCATTGCGATATTTGAATTTTTTGGAATATAGTGCGGTATGAACACAATTTCATCAGATAACTTGAATATCTCTATTTGGAAAGAATTTATAATGTTAGATTGATTAGGATGATTCTGCAGCGGGAGTGCATCTTCATAAAATCTAATTAACAATCTACAAAATTTTAGGGGTCCCCCAACACATTTTCGACGTGGTGTGTGATATTTGCAGGGCATTTCTGTAATTGCATGTGTTGTATTTTCATGCATAACAATCTAAAAACACAATCAAGAAAAAGATACAATTGAACCATTTTAATCATTTAGCGAGTCTGATCAAGTACAGCAACTGACTCATAAAAATAAAACAGTTCAATAAAATGAATCATTGTTAAAGTTACAAATGATACAATTTAGTATGCCTGAATGCTTTTAAGGTCATTATACAATCACTGGCATAAAAAACACATGCAAATGTTGAATTATAATCCAGACTCAGCAATACATATGCTCGCGATTTGACTATTGCGAATGATCACATTGATGCTGAAAAAATATATTGTGCAGCCCTAGTACCCACCCTTTTAAAACTTTCTTCTGTTGAGCACAAAACAAGATATTCTGTAGAATGTTGGAAACCAGAAGCCATTGATGTCCATAGTAGGAACAAAAGAAATTCTATAGAAGTCAATTCTTCAAAACACCTTAGTTTGGGTTTAACAGAAGAAAGAAACTCAAATAAGTTTGAACCAAGTAAAGGACAAGCAAATGACGGCAGAATTTTTGGGTAAACTATCTCTACACTACTTCATTCTCAACATTACAAAACAGCTGTACGATGATGAAAAAATGCAAACTTGTTTAGTTTTGTTTTGTTATATACACAATTTACATTAGTCCGTAAGAAATACTTAAAGTTTGTGGCTCAAAAAAATATGATCAAAGTACAGGGGATTTACACTTGGTGTGCCTCCTTGGTATCATTAAAGCATAGGTACATGAAATTCCAGATGGGATACAGCTTAAAACATAGTTAAATCTCTGAGATCAAACATGTGATGTCTTACTGAAAAGATCAGTATAGTTGGTTAAAGTCAGACAGTTATCCATTAACCCAACTTAACCGTTGATGTTATCATAGCAATAATGATATTGTTTTGACAAAACAAGGTTAACCTAGTAATTTAAAAACATGTCTAGTACATTGGGCAAGCAGAACACGCAAATATAGCTTCATGCCATGCATGTACTCAGTTTCGGTTTATGTTTTTCACTCCAAGTCTGCAGACTGTTAATCAGCTAAACGAAATCGACTGTTTAACTACTGAACATGCTTATCGCTTTAAGACAAGGCCGGGTGTGAAAAGCATTAAACAGCTGGAGCAGCCAGATGAAGCCGCTCCAGTAATGTAGCTAAAACAGAATTTACCTTCAATGTATTGGTCAAGGTGACAGATTAGTTGACTCCAAAACTGTTGTCATCTTAGACCGTTCAGAAAGCAACCACAGCAAGCTTGCGTTGACAATCTGTAATATTAAAACAATATTCAAACATGATCATAACTCCAAGAAAGGCGTCTCTGTATCAACTAAGACACGAATCGTTTTACATCTAAAGCGCATTTAAATAAATACTGGAGCAGCATTCGAAGCCGCATAATGTAGCGAAACTGAGAACCACACGTTATACTGAAAAATCTTCAGTATTTCCCTGCGTAACAAGACGTTATTGCGTGAGACGTCACGTTACCCTAGGGATGTCCGGTTTGTGAATGAACTGCTCTTTCGAGTCGAATCTTTCGAATGAACCAATTCCCAAAATTGATTCTTTTGAGTTAAACTGAACAGAACTGAACAGTTCTTTAGTACACTGAACGAACAGAATCCGTTCACACATCATTTGACCGAAATGCGAATAAAGAATCTTGAAATATGCGTATTAACTTAAATATATTATTCGAGTTTATCAAAAATAATGTTATTTAAAGAGCAAAGTTATGTTATAAGGAGGATGTAGATTGAATGCACTAACTGACTGTTAATACCAAATATTGTTTATGGGGTAGCAATTCACGTCATTTATATTAAAACGTGAAGCAGTATAGAAATTTAGAGAGTTTCGACATTTTATATGGCTACGTTTTAATTAGAAGATTTTAAGGACACAAAATATTTGATGTTCCAAAGCACAACAAACACAGCAACATAGAATCACTGAATCGTTTGTAAAATAGTTTTTGAACCGATTCTGATTGAGTCTGATCACTCACTTTCTATCACGCGCTCACGTAAAATTTGTAGGCAGTATGGGAAATGTAGTTCGTATATTCAAGTTTAGCTAGGACGCAATTAAATCGTTCAGAATATGAAGTGAGTATTCTAAATTCGAGTTTTTCCACGTATTTATAGAGTTTTGTTCTTGATATAAATTTAAAGTACGTAAGGAGAACGGCGACGACTGATCGTTGCCTAGAAACACAGACGCAAAGTCCAAACAAGCCGCAGCATTTTCAACAATTGTTTATGTCAACAGATAAAACAGCAAAATAGACTCATAAGTTAGTAAAATGGCAAAGATTCACATCGACAAACTCGCAGCCAATTCAGTGGAGGCTTATTTAGAATACAAAAGGTGAGTTTGTTTGTAAAAATCCTGAATTTTTTTTTTCTAAAGATGACTTTGTAATTATTTTTCAACGATCTTTATTCTTTGCAAAGGATTGTTGGGGAAGATGATGGAGGAAGGCTGTTTTCGGAGGACGAGTACAAGAAATACAAAGAGACAGTGGTGCCAGGAAGAATACAGAACCGCCTTTATGTCAGTTTTGGCGTCCAGGTGTTCCGGAGAATTCAGTTCCCCCTGTTCCCCCCTTCACAGCGCATGCGCTAATTCTCAGTAATGACGTCATGCTTTCGCTTCGCTAGTGAATCAATTCGTGTTGGTTTTGAAAATAAAAATTAATAAAAATCGTGTTGGTTTTGCTGTATTAACAAGCCTAATGTTGGTTGCATTAAACATTTTTTATTATATTTAGTAATTGTAATTTTTGCATGCACTCATTAATTGTTTTGTTGTTAATGTGTGCGTGATGTGCGTGTTTTTCTTTCAAACAAGCATTGTCTTTCAAATAAGCCTTGTCGAGAAAAATAGCACTGCAAAATTAGTGTCTCTTGTTTTAGGTAAGTCACAATGATGCTTGTAATGTTTAAAAATTGCATAGACTGTTAATGCAAATATTTGTCACTTATCTGCATATGAAAACACAAGAGAATAGATTTTCTGTAAGCAATGGAAGTTTCCTGGATTAAAAAACAAAACAACAATACAATGACGTCTTTTTAATCTAATAATTGTCTCCAACAGTTTTCATCTGCAGAAAGGGCTTTTAAACAACAATTATGGATACAGCACAGAAAACAGATAAAAGATAGGCTCAAATTTTTTTTTTTTTTTTTTTTACTTTTTTACTATCTATAAAGGGGTGTTACCATTGAAAAGGCATGGGAATTTTTTACATTGCCCAAAGAAGTGTTAACTCCTATATATTACCTTTTGTGGGTTTGAAAGGCACTACAATGATGCTGGTGACATTTTTTTAATGGTATAATTATGTCTAAACTCTTATATGTTCAGATAAGTGTATTTACAGTGATTTATGTTATTTTTGTGGACTACACAATGACCATATGCATTCACCTGCTTGGGTAAATGGGTACTTTTTTATTTTTAACAATTTTTGTACCTTTGGTTCTTGTTAAATTGACAAAAGCTGTTAAACATTATTTTAATGATGAGGCAATTGTGGGTAATTACCCTGCATGATCTTTCAGATTGCCTGTGATTGATCACCAGTCATGTGTTGGCAGAATAGGGCTGTGCGATATTGAAAAAACAAAATAAAACTAATATTGCAATATTTCGTTGGTCTGCCTTATATATTGTGATATAAATACAATTTCACCAGATTGGTTAAATAGCTCTGTTAGAAAATAATTCATTATTTTACATTGATTGGCATGATTTTGTAGGGGACTGGTTGAATCATGCATAAAACAATTTACAAGCATATAAAAACAGGGCAAAGACAAAACTGCTGAGATAAACAGTGTGTTTTTTTTTTTTTTTTTTTTTGGAGCATTCAGTACAGAAATTGAATAATCAAATGTAAAATAACACTAGTCTTCTTTATATAAAAAAATAAGTACAATTAATATTTGTTTAAGATATAAAAGTTATAATTTCTTGTGCCTGAATGTATTAAACTTTTTGAAATCACATGCAAATAATACTTTTTTTATTTAATTTTGGTTAAAATCTGCAGCTACTCCACAAATCACATGTACTCTGAACTCCTGTGCTGTTCAACATTGCAGATGTGACTACTGCAGATGGGCACATTGCAATATTAATGCTGATAAGATATATTGTACAGCCTATAATGAAGAATATCATTGCTTAGCTTGCTTTAAACACTTGAAAATGTGCACAAATTTTTGGTTGGTTCGTTTTAAAAGATTTTAGCTTTTTTTGCTAGTTTATGTATATAATAAATATATAAATATTCAAATAGTAAACTAATTTAATGTATCATCCTTTTAATTTACGCCTACTTATGTTTTTTTTTTAGTATAACAAAATTGTTAGATTTAAATCTGATGTTAAAAAGGCATTGTATATTGTGTTTTCCAATCCTCAGAAGGTAACACAATTTCCTCTGCTTCGGGAAAATCCGTACTCCTGTGTTTTTAATGTAAAGTCACTTTCTGAAGATACATGACAAGCTACGTAAATATGTCTTTCAAAACGACACAAGTATCACTGTGATTTATCTGAAATAAAACACACTATAATTTGTGCAGTGTAGTATGGTTTATTTTTTTCGACAAGGCAAACTGTTTGAAAGAAACAAGCGAACGCGTGCTAAAAACAGGAACAATACCATAGACACGTGTGTCTATGCAAATAATTACAAAATTTTATAAACTCTGTGACAAAATAAACACTGGGCTTACGAAAATACAGCAAAACAACCATGAACTGTTTCAGTTCGCGAAGTGAATTCATGACGTCATGATTTGCGTACATGGAATCAGCCGTAAGTTGCGCATGCGCTGTGAATGGGGGAACAGGGGAACTGAATTCTCCGGAACACCGGGACAGATAGATTGCAAAGTTATTGGACCTGAGACAACTTGCTTCTGTACACACAGGTATTACTAGAATCACACTGATGAACACACGCATACATAAAATAATCTTCGTTGTTTCTGTTTTATTCTCAGGTATAAACAGCATCGCACAGACTATGAGGAGTTGCCAAAAGAAAGGCCTGTCCTCTTGCCCTGTAGAGTCAAAGGTTGTCAGTGTGCTTCTTATGAATATGTTCATATCAACGGCTCTAAACCTGTGCGCTGCCGATGCAAACACACAACAAGTGAGCACAAAGAAGATGCAAGGCATTTGTGCAAGAAATGTGAGTTTTGCACCATTGCATTTCAAAATGTTACAAATAATTTTAAATATATTTACGGTGTTTGTTCACCCCAAATTGGAAACGATCTACTCATCTTTGCATTGCTCCAAAACAAAAATAAAATTCAAATTAGATCTGACTTTTCAATCATTTAATTTAAAGTCTGACACTTAAAATGCTTATAATGAAAAAATAATAAACAAATATATTTTAATTAAGTTTAAAAGTACATTTAATGGTGGGGTAAATTAAATGAATTGAAAATAAAAAAACAATTCACTTTAAAGGATCGTTGATAATTATTTAAAGGAATTTTGATCATTGGCATTGCTAATATAGACACAATATCACCTAACAAAGCTTAAAAATGATTGTTTGACATGTAATCACATTTGAACTTTTGCAAGAACCAATGAGGTTTGTTCTTTCATGCAGGAATTATTAAGCTTCTGCTTATGTTTGTTTAATTATTGTATATATTTTGTTAACAGGCAAAATTAAATCTATTCATCATAAAGTAATAATGTAATCTTCAGATGACTTGGATTAAACTGCTCATTTCATATGAATATTTTAAAAATCTCTTTATAAATGTTTTGAAGTCTCAGATAGTTTTAGGTGAACAGATTTTCATTAGAGAAACAGAAATTTACTCCAATCATATTTTCTTAATAAGTGTGTTAATTTGTGTTCCAATTACATGAAGGACATGACGGTAAAAAATAACATAATTTTATATTTGGAGAGAATTAGCCCTGCAATAAAATTTAGAATTGCATTTCCTGTTAACCTGCAGGTACTCACTGCACTGGTTATCGAAGTCCATTCCCCTGTGGATGTGGTGAGCCAGGATATACCCATGTGACGCTGATTGAAACCAGGGAAGAGCGCATTGCACGTGGTCATCCAGTGGGCAGAGCGGTCCCTTATGCAGCTATGGGAGGTCTGACTGGCTTCAGCTCACTAGCGGAAGGCTATCTGAGACTGGATCCCAGTGGCATAGGGAATACATGTTAACAGCATACAGTAGGCAACTTGTCACCTGATACTCATGCTTTTGCAAACATGATATTAGCATTAGATTAGCACACGCCCCTAGAGTAAACATTGCTGTTATTTTATCTTTTGTGATTAGAATGAGAAGTAACTTACAAGTTACTGAACTGCTGCTTTTATACACTGATAAAAATCTTCTTATTGGCATCCATGAGGACCTTTTACCATCCATGGAACCTTTTTTAACACACAAAAGGTTATTTGGGGACATAAATAGTTATTTTAAATAATAAAATACTTTTCATTGTAAGAAAATAATTTAATCAAAAACTTTATTATTTTTCTTTATATATCTGTTTTAAAATATTTAATTATAATTTACTCTATAATTTAAATATATTATATGTAATAAATAACAAAGTGTTATTAAAATTATTGCCTCGTTTTGTGTAGTTTGAAAAATATCTAACATTATTTAATTGTGTGTTGTAACTTGTAAAGGCTCCATATGGCTTGCAATCACTTATGTATTATAGATCAGAGCTTGCAATGCATCTCTCAGGTAAAAAATTTTATGGGGCTGTTCACATATCGCTTCCAAAACCACATTGAAAACGTGATGCGTGCTTCTTCCTTTACCAATTTAAATGGGTTTCAGAACTCTGCCTTTGCTGAGGCCACCATCAGCTGTTCCTCACACACGTGATCAGTTTTTTAAAATAGTTCAACTTTTGCCTCTGTTTGGATTATACTGAATGTGTGTCGTTGTTATTACTTGAGGTTAGGGTTAAAAGTAAAGTAATATGCTGGTGTTTAACTGCATTGCTTTATTGCATTCCTGCATTGGGCTCTCACATTCTCTCAGCTACTTCATAGCCTTGTTGGGCGTTTCTCTGAATGCAGTGGACCAATCACAACAGACTGGGTCATCTGACCCATCACAGCAAATAAGCCTCACGCAAAGTAGGGGTTTGGGACCAAATTAATCACTGAACAAATCATATTGGAGTTGTTGGGATAATTAAGTAAAAATAAACGCATTCTATAAGACAATGAAACAAGGTTTTTTGACCTTGCATGCATATCAGCCTGTTGTTGGAGAACCCCAAAACCAAAATATTACCTTTTATAATGCAATATGGGATTTTTAAAATCCTTTGAAAATATGAGCATAGATTATTAGCTGTGATTCAGCCATAAATTATGAGTGTGATATTTCATTTATAGAAGTTTGTAATCTGCACGGAAATCAGCATCACTACAGAGTGTGTGCATCTCAAGTCATAAATCAGAATATTATAAAAAGATTTGGGCATTACTAAAGACAATAAATGACCCTAGCTCACAACATGTTGGGACATTGTCACTATTTGTTTTATCACTACCAATCAGTACCTTTCTGTTATTTTAACTTTAATATATTTTTTTCTGTTTTTTTATGTAATTTAATGCACATAATGATCAATATTTAGGTGTATACATATTTATTTCAAAGACTAGAATACACAAAATGTGTAACTCGTATAGTTTTAAATGGGGAAAAGTGTAATGGTAAATATGGCTAATGAAGCCCTGCCTACTAGTACAGGAGCCAATCATCGATTACTATAGACTGCCGATTTTCCAGGGGAGAGACTCAGACCAGATGTGGTTTTTAGGACAGTTTGGGGGTCAACAAACACACCAGAATCTAAGCAAATACCTGCTTCACAGACAAAAGAAATATATCTACATTAAGCTTTTAAATGAACCAAGTGTACTTGGAAACAAAAGTCTTTTTGGTTTTGTAATGTGTATGAAACAAATGCGAGGTACAGTCTGTTCTGTCAAACGCACATCACATGACAGCAATTACCTAAACGCCCACAAACTTGTAAACAAAGAGTCACTGTCATTTCTGGAGGAGATTTGTCATCAAGACCAAGTTGTGGATTACTTCTGTTGACCAGCATGATCAGATGATCATTATCCAGATGATGGTAATATGTAGAACGTCCATAAATGAGGTTGGTGTCGTGATCTTGTTCCTTTGATGAGCGCATGCATATTAGTTTGGGCTACCTGAAAATATGGCGATTTTGTTTGATTTGATTGTTTAGAAACGAAACTTATGAAGCAATTGTTGTTTAAGTTCATTGGTGATTTCAAATATGCCATGTAATTGTAAGCTTGGCAAACAGTTTTGAAGAATTCAATGTTTCTCCATTCAGACAGAAAGCCTGAGCATACTGCCTGAGAGGCATCTCAAAGATGGCCATTGAGTGAAATGATTTGCCCTAAAGGGACTTTGGTATATACAGTTAACCTACAGCATTTCAGCCATAAATGATTAATGTTAGATTGTTTAGTACCTTTCCAGCCATGCATGTTCATGCTTAAATATAAATAAATGATGGTTTGTTTTTCAAAAACATCCATGTAATTATGTGTGGTAAGGTGGTTTACAAGCTACATGTTTTGCAATTCTAAACTTCAGTTAAAGGAACATAGTGAGCATGAATGCTCCAGGTTTTAAATGGTGCACTGTGGGACTTTTAAGGGAGCAGCTTTTTCAGTGCACTGGAAGAATTTTGTCTGCCCCCACTACTGAATTAAGAGCTAATTGAGACCTTGTGCCCATTGTTTTTCAATCATACCAAATACATTTATGAAATACCTTCATTTTAGAACAGTAATTTATCACAGCAACAGCCATTATTATAATGGCAGAAAGCACAAAGCCAGAAACGGATACAGCAAAAAAGTTATGTGAAAATATTTGAAATTTTCATTTTGCCTCAGGCGAAATGATTTGGTTTTTAGCAAAGAAGAGATTAAGGCAGGATTTTTCAAAGTGTGGGGTGAGCCTCGCTGGTGGGAGATAGTCTTGACAAGTAAAGCTAGAGCCTAAGAAACAGGAGGAAATTTAGTCATTTTTGTGCCCATCTCTGTTTATTTTTGTATTTATTTGGCCATGCATTCAAAACAAAACATTTAAAAAGCCTTATTAAAACCAACATCAGTAAACGGTTTACAGTTTGCAATAAGTTTGTAATGAAAATACAAAATGCAATATTATTGTGAATAAGATTATCCATTTTTGTCTGTTTTGTTTGTTCTTTTTGCAAGTCTATACTTTTTACCCTCAGTTTCTGAATTTTATCAGAGGCAAAATGCAAACACGGTTGCATTAGTATTATTATATAAATCATATATTAATGTTAACTATTCATGTTTTAAACTAAGCGCGACACTGTGGCTCAGTAGTTAGCACTGTCGCCTCATAGCAAGAAGGGCACTAGTTCAACTCCAGGCTGGGTCAGTTGGCATTTCTGTGTGGAGTTTGTATGTTCTTCCCATGTTGGCATGGGTTTCCTCCAGGTGCTTCGGTTTTCCCTATCCAAAGACATGCACTATAGGTGAATTAAATAAACAAAACTGGCCGTAGGGTATGAGCGTGAGTGAGTGTGTATGGATGTTTCCCTGTACTGGGTTGCAGCTGGAAGGGCATCCGCTGTGTAAAACATATGCTGGATAAGTTGGTGGTTCGTTCCGCTATGGCGACCCCTGATGAATAGAGGGATTAAGCCGAAGGAAAAGAAAAAAATGGATGTTTTAAACCGTAGGATTTTATTGCTGAGTATCTTGTCATATTTTATGCGTGAATTGTGATCAGAAATCCAGTGGTGTAAAGTAACAAATTACAAATACTCAAATAACTGTAATTAAGTAGTTTTTCTCAGGAATTATAATTTACTGAGTAGTTTTAAAAATGTGTACTTTTATAGTCCTACATTTTTATATTTACTCCACGTTTTCCTTCAACCTGCAGCCATACTTTATTTTTTCTTGTATATGGGGATTAGAAAAATCAGTCTCATGATTCCTGTCCAATCAAATCGCACATAGAAGGTAAATTGCATCATTATGAACTACTTCAAGACATGGGCGATTAATAACGTTGTGTGGATGTTACCGCTATGACATCTATCTGACGTTGGATTTTGGTAGTCATATCTGATTAATAAATGTCAGTATTTGACATCCATATGACATTGGTTTAAAATGTTGGCTTGATGTTGGATTTTGGTCACTTTCTAATATTGGACATTAAAAAAACGTTGTCCTTAGACGTTGAGTAGACATTGAGTTTTGGTCACTTGACATCACAACTTATATCTTACCTAATGTTAACGTCTTATGACGTTGTGGGTAACGTTTTATGATGTATGTAGTTACTTGCTGGGCAATAATTAAATGCTCTAAATAATGTTACATTTACACATCCACAAATACATGTAAATGTATCGGCTTTTTACTGCGTATTATTCAATAATTACTATTCTATTCTTGAGTAGTTTTTAATGGTCTGTTTACTAATAATTTGAGTAATAGTTATAACAGATAATTTTTCTCTACTTACACTACATTTTTAGGCAAGTAATGGTGCTTTTACTTAAGTATGATTTTCAAGTACTTTTTCCACTTCTCTTTCCACATTGCTCTTTAAAAACATTTTGTCAGAGGACATTCAAATGAATGCTTTATTACAAAAATGAGATTGGTCTGAAAAATAAACACAGATGCAGGTAATCATGCTCTTTGAAAGGATCTCTGTTATAATACTCTAGAGAATTCAATGAATTAAATCTTTCATTACCAGCACTAAAGTGGCTTTTTTCAAATTGGCACCAGAGGCTTGGGCTCAGCTGTTTAACTGTCAGCTTAATAAGCTTTTCAATTAAGTAAATCAGCGTTACTTCAATACTAGTTCTAAAGTGACATTTTTGCATTAGCAAATTTAAATGAATGAAATCAACTGCTTAAATGTAAAATTTTGAATTCATGGCAGAAGGAAGTAGTTTTCTCACACAGAAGCTCAAAGAAAATCTCTCTGTCACGCTGGTAGACAAGGAAGTCAATGATGGTTATTATTTATCAGTTTTATTTAAAACAAAGGCACTTAATCAAAGTGAGAAAACAAAGGAGTGGTGTTAATGCTGTTATCGATCTTCTTCCACAGCATGGTAATGTAACCATCTGATGTTAGCGATCAGGAACATCCATAGGTGAGTATACAGACACACAGTTCATCAGAAAGATAGATCTTCTTGTAAACACCATATAAGAATATTAACTTCCCTTGATCAGTGTGAAGGATTTAAAGACTAATAAGGAACATCCATGGAAGAAGAGGAGAAGATGAAGAAGCGAAAATGAGAACAAACATCCGACTTCAATAGGAGAAGGTGGGCTTTTATAGTGCCCTTTGATGAGAGGACACAGGTGCAGGTAATTAGAATGCCAGTGAGGGTTTATGGGATTGGATGGAGGTGGTTTGTGAGGGAGAGCGATGATTAGGTGAGCAGGAACAAGCAAGGGATGTAACAGTACCCCTCCACAGGTGACTCCTAGCTCCCTAGACTGGCGGCGGGGGCAGCC